CTTGGAAATTTCTAGCGGGACGAAACAGATAAATCGCCTGAGAATAGACGACGTCCGTAGAGCGTAACGGCAACAGTACTAATTCCCTAGTAGTATTCGAAAAACATGCTGAAGAGAACGACCATTATTTTGCGAACGCTTAAGAAACGTTAGGGCTAGAGGTCACGCAAGGCTTCACTAGAGAAATTACGAAGTAAAATGACACTTGCATCTACCACAAATCAACTTCGTGCTCCTTTCGAGGGAAGGCACATTTAGAGTTTACTATAGTGATGGTCGGGATTGTCTTATGAAGGTGTCCCTTAACCTCCAAAAAAAAGTCTAGGAATCGTCTCTAAAAAGAAAACTATATAATTAAATTGCTTGGCAGCTATAACGGAAATGGGAAATCATCTTCAGATGGAAAAAATAAAAAGATAACAATGCAATTAAAAAAAACAAAATTTTATATAAAAGCCTTATGTTAGGTGTTTCCGTGTATCATTAACCATAACAAAAAAAAGCCATTGTTACTTTTCAAATTAAATGATTGTTTTTAGGAGCAGAAACTAGTTACAAAACAAACCCGCAACTTCGTTAATCTCAAGCAAAAGATCTAGCTATTCTATTATTTGACTTGATTTTTTGCTGACTTGGTAAATCCAAACATTTAAATTAAATTTGTTGCAATTTGCTTTCTTAATAATCACACCGATTCACATTACTTGATCATATTCTCAAATTTTCAACGATGTTGGCGAAACGCAAATTTTATTTGATTATCATTTGCTTACACCTGATACACCAAAACACACCGATAATCGTTTTAGTTTCCATGTAGCAATATTCTTACGGTTCTTGAAGTTCTGCCGAAATGGAAGATGTTTCATTTTTAATTAAATCTGCCAAATTTAGTTTGTCGTTACCTTTAGCCAATATCCGAAATAGTATATCGATATGGTGTGGATACGGTAAGTGAACATATTATTACTTCATGAACTTGATAAAATCAGCTCGTGATTATCTGAATGCGTTGCGATTTTATGTATTACGGTTTCACTTATTAAGGCAAAAGCAACCAACCATTAAGGTATTTTGATTCCTTCTAAGCTTGAACAGCGTTATGGGCTCGCAACATCGAATAACACAAAAGCAAGCCTCTCCAACTTATAAATATATTATATACGAGTAAACAATACTAATCATAAACAATCAATAAATACGCACTTACGCCAGCATCCCTTATATTGTTAACATACAACTAGCGACACCACAGATCTTCGAAGCCGATAGGACCTCACAATTTAACAATTCGATGCTAACAGAAAGTTCTTTTTACGTTCATCCATCGACAACGGCTGAATTTCAACTAACTGAATCGTAGACAGAATCGCGTTGCAGGGATACGAAGCCACAAGGAGCCACTGGATGTCACCGACCTCACTATCATCAACGGGTTCTATTGGCCCTCAGCAACAATAACCCCCATCCTAATGATCAATAAAATTATACCTCCTATGATACTCGAACAGTACAGCAAATTTTCTTTTGTTATGGCTTGATTTCACAGGGAGTACACACCCCGATTTGCGATCACTAATGTTGAGCTTACCGCGTTGTCGTTTGGTGCTACATGTGTAAAAAGTTGACGACTTAAAAATTTATATATGGTCACATTCGACAATATTGCGATGCCTAAATAGGTTTAAAATACGAAAAAAAATCTATCCTTTAATGACAACCTTTGATTCGTTACGTCGACATCTTCAGAACGAGCTTAACGATGCTCTTTTTATAGAGTACCGAAACAAACAAAATCGAAACCATATGTATATATATATATATATATAATGTTATTCACTATTATAAGCGCACTATTAGTATTATCGTCTTAATAGAAATATTTGTGTGAATGTAAAGATATTCGTTTTGCTCATTTCTAGTGATAACCATTCTATGAAATTTCTCAACACCTGCATCCGGCAAAAACCTAAAAAATTGGCAGCCTACCAGTGCTGTGGTATATATATTGCGGTAACTCACACCTGTCTTATACATTAGAATAGGAAGCAGGGTGAATAGGCTTCTCATCTATCAAGCCAATACCCTTTGCTTCTGGCGTGGCTGCTGCTTTTGAGGGAGCTGCCCTTTCCCTCGTTGTGTCGTTGAGAGAACGAGGAGAAGGGGGAGAAGGACAAGTGGGCGAACGAGCAAGGCGGACTCTGCCCTCTCGCCGGTGGGGGCGCGACATCCCGGCGCGGCGGGACAAGCGCACGAGTCTCCATGGCGCCAGACGGTGACAGTAACAAACAAAGCATTCACAAAGGCCACCGTCACGATCAGCAGTGTATCACAGGGACTAACTGCTAAGCGTCGTGAACCGAACGCCAATACAAACACCATCACAGGTCCATACGAACGCTACTATTAGAATAATTCAATGTTCTTCTGCCTGAAGAAATTGATCCGACCGTACTGTTCCTTTAAAACAATGCCGACATCATCACTCATCGCGGCGGAAGCGATAGCAGTAAAGCAAGAACCTTTTATCTATGAGTTGTATGCGTGAGTGAGTGGAATCGTATAATAAGTGGCTGTTGTTTCGCTTGTGCAGCTTAGCTGTCCGCCTTGCCATTCTTCTTGCGGCTTAATACAATAACATTACGGATAGCGGTTCGCGCCATTGCTGCTGTCCGTAGCGCTAAGTAATGTTCGCAACGGTGGCGGCCACGGCAGGGTAGAGAAACCTGTGTAAAGGAACTGCAACGGAATGTCTGCATATTGCCGTCAGGTTGCAGCTACAGTGGACTAACTTCTTACGAAGTTCTACGACGGGTTTTACACTTCTAGTCGGTTGCGGGCCGGTAGGCAGACGCTTCTACTACGTACTCGAATAGATTAAATACATGTTTTCGGCGTTACGTTCAGTGCTACTGCCACTACCATAGCCACAATTACCGCTACTGCTGCTGTTACAACTATCGGTGCTGACGTTTGTGCTGCCTGGCGCATGTGTAGCTGCCCCGTTGCTGTGGCCCATCTAAAAAGGAGCGAACGGAAGCAGCACGAACAATAACGCAAACGCTGAGGCTAGCGAATAGCCCAACACGAAGCTATACAGCAGCAGCAGTAGTCTCTTCGAGGGTCGTTTTGTAGCAGGGGACTT